CTTAAATATATGCCATTCATGTTGAGACCTCACTGAACACGATGGTCATCTGTTTCGTCGTGAAACAATTCCTCCTCTAATTTCGAAGCCTCAGTTGCAGCAACTTTTGCTGCTCATAATTCAGTGAGTTATTTATTCTATGACGTATGTGAATCAAGTTTTAGACATACTTACACACAGGATAACAGAAATATATCTGCGATGTTCTGGGGTAGTCTCTACGAGTACGAATTTTCGATACTGTCGGTCAGTGTGTTACTACAACTGGCGATACCGGATTTTAACGGCGAAAGTATACACTGTAAAGAAAGAAATGCTAATTTTTTTGCTTCACACCGACACTACGGTGGTGTAGATTGAAGGAAGTCTTACTTCTGGTAATACCGCAGTACTGCACCAACCATTTAGTTCTAATCGTTTAAGGCAACCGTTTAAGCAGACCACGGTTCCCTCGTATTTAAGCGCTTGCTGTGCCTAGGACGCATGAGCGCGTCCTGTAGTTGATTTGAACAAGAACATGTTCAAACTCAAACGCTTTTCTTCGTAAGCGAATGTATATAGAATGACATAGAATATAACCCCGATCTTCTTGGGTAGCTTTCATGAGTGGGAGTTTTCGGTGCCGTTTTATCAAGCATAAAACTTTTCAATATATTATTCATCAAATTCAAATTTTGCAGTTATTCAATGAGCAATTAGAATTTATATACACGATATATGGAAAACCATTGTCAGGTGGCGTGTTGGTAATATAGATGTTAAACAAAATATGGATTTTGTCGATAGCTCTTTTAGGATGATTTCCAAAAGTCCAAATTGACTTATAGGGTCTCTCTGTGTACCGCAGTAAGACACAAATTTGTTCTCCTGCATGAAATCTGATGAAATTCGGTTGACTCAGTTTTAGAAGCGAATAAGCTAAGCTTATCCGATTATCGAAAATTCCTCTTGGTCGAAATTAGTATACAGATCATTGCTCACACTTCTTCGTTGATAACTCCTTCTTAAAAACTAGTTCAACACATAGCATTCATACATGATAAAGTGGATATTTTAGCTGTCGAAAGTTAACGAAACCAAGCATTTAAAAAATGCAAATTTAGCGTGAGATAGCAAAATGCAAATAATGCTTAATCAATTGGAAATGATAAAACTGGCTTCAAATTTTTGCCAGATTTAATATGAAATCCTTGTGCCTAGCCAAGCAATTTGTACATCGATTAATAAGTGAATGATTTTTTCTTAAAGATATTAAACGAGATATGAATGAATTAACTCAGTCGGTTAGGCAAGCATAGTGAATCTACAAGCTAGGCTTATATTGAATTTGTACCAAAAGCTTAGCACGTCGCGAATGATTTGAAATCTTTAACTACAGGCAGACAGCCGACGGCTGATTTATACATTTTTTAGTGCGTTTTTGATTGAACATCTCCTCTGACACACTTTCGTTCCGCTGTCTTGATTGATCAATAACATCCGGCTTCCGTATAGTTTTTCTTCTTTGTTTTCTTAGTGTCATGTGTCATAAATTCACTAACTCATTTCTGCTATGACGTGCACTGCTGACTTCGTCCTACCCAACGTTTCGTGCCAGCTTACAACAGGCTAATTTCGCAGATGTTAGCCAAAACTTGTCTGTGATCAAATCAAAAAAGACACCACTTTCTGTTGTATCCGGAGATAACGCTGTTCCATTGTGATATGCAGATTTTCAATCTTTAGCAAACATGTTTCTGTCAAATGCTTAATGAATCGAAAGGATTATTGCTGCTACTCATTACATTCTTCCACTTCAAAAATTTAATACTGGTCTTCTAAAAAATTTTATGTTAAGTGATTATAACGAGGTTTAGCAATTGTTCCATTCCGTGATACAAATTTAGGATATGTTGAATAAGCATAATCGTATAATTTTAATTATATAAAACTGACAATGAAAATGTCACATCGTCAGAATGACCATTTCTGCATCGTCGTCCAGGTAGCGTGAATGACGTTATTATCATTGCCATTTGAAGCAATATCCACCATTTTTGGATCTTACCATGAGTCATAATCTGGCGTTCAGAATTAAAGCATCACAGAAGAAAGATTTTATCGAATTTCTGTTCGAGAACAATGAAAACGGTCAATTCTTTAATCTGAGTTTGTAGTTCGAGTATCCTTTCCTTAGATTTGCTTAACCTGTAGCACCATCTTTAAACGACTCTTAAAGATTCATGACTAACGGCACGGCACGCCACCACGTCTACAATCTTTAACTTAGGTAGTTATACCGTTTCTGCAAAGGGACACTGGAATTGAATCTGTAGAAAACACCCTGAAAATTTGTTGATAATCAGGTTGTCTGTATCATAGGCGAAAGAAAGAGTAATATGGTTTAAATGTACCTATATCATGATTTCTGAAATGAGGATAATTATATTTCATTTAATCAAACTGAGTGCACTACGTCCTAATTTTACGAAAAACATGAAATCGTCAAGAGCTTTTCTACGAGTTCAGGATGATGTATTCATGTGGTTTTCATCCTTCATGACAGTAGTATAATGTCAGACCATTATTAAGAAAACGATCTACTTATGACCTACTTTTGAAAAGGGTATTTAGACGGGACTATTGACTACTATCGGCCAATTTATTCTAGCAAATTGCATGCGTCTATCAACTGAATGGAGAACTGTATCGGTTGCGCACTAAATTATAGGTTAACCGTTAACAAAGGGAATAAATTTTGTTAACTGTTGCGTTATTCTGCATCAAAGCTTCCAATCCTCATAGACAGAGACTTCTTTCTACCGAGATTTGTTGCATATGTAAGCAGCTTAAGGTAATCTTAATGCAATACATCAACAACACTGCTTCCAACAATAACAGTAATAAATAAGCTTCTTTTTCAAGATTTTGGCCGTTCAAGTTGCATTGAGTGCTGTTTCTTCCTGATACCAATTATTCGACATTATCGGGATCTTTCAGCTTTTTACTGACAAGTCATCACTTTCCGATCAGAGGACAGATGACATGATAAAATTTAACTATGGCATTATGGGTTTACTGGCAAACTGCTAGTTTTCAATACCGCCGTTAGGAACAATGATTTTTTGTCACTACTCCGGATTCCACGACGTCGTCGCGCCATCAACTTGCTTCTAAAAGCCTAAAGAACCAAGTGACCACGGCATTTTAGCACCTGCACAGTGTCTGGGAGCTAAACCGCGCAGGTGAACTGGATCAAACAAAAACCTGTTCGCCGAGTGCGTGCCACGATGAACAAATTTCACCGTTGTTTCAAAATTAATATTAACAGTAGTTCTTAGTAGAAGACCGTTTTAGGGTTCATGAACGACCTCAGTAATTAATGCATACGTGCCTGGGTCTGTGGTGTAATCCAAAACTGTGGCGGGTACCTGATGTCAGCGACAGGACCTCAAGTCTTCCTTCTAAAGATAATCTTCTTACAGTTACAAACGATCCAATCCAATCATATTCGATGATCATGCAAACGAGGCAATGTGAATGTCCACACGAACACTAAATGTCATTACTAGAAAATGTTTGGTAGTTTCAAGCACCACTTAAGAATGCAATTAGTCACGCACAGCACAAAATTCACTAAAAGGTTCTAAATTAAAGATATTGAATCTTTCGATAAATGGCAGCACATAAACAATTTGTTCTTCATCAACGGACGTTTACACTGAATTAACTGACTTCTGTCTACGTACACAGCTAAATTAGATTTACAGGAAAGTGTTTTTGTTTAGTTTATAAATTGCTTGCAGTCATTACTACTTTCCTAAACCTATAAACAGATTAAGGTCACTGAGTATATTCCTTTATTTGGTCATTATGAAGGCAAAAGTTGACCGAATATGACAGTGTCAAGCGTTTTCCTGCAGCAAATAACTTATTTTAACCATTTACATATTCCATGAATATCGCATATGAATTCTGTAGAATCGAGTTCTTTACCCGATTATAATCCTTGATATGAATCACAATCGCAAAATTATTGCCCTTAATAATGCATTAAATTAGCCACTCTTACATATACTAAATTCTTAATTAAAACAAGCTTGGCTGAAACAATCACAATTTGATCAGATAAAACAATTAAGCACTGTATATACACGTTATCGTCTGAAACGCAGTACGTTCATACCAACTTAGGCTGAAACAAAATTGCACTCCGGCCCAGACTAGTAGTGTAATCACTACCAAAGATTAACATACAACGAAGCGACCCGGTAATCTTAAACATGCAGGACAAAAAAATATCCTCTACTACGTAGATTTAGTAACAATCCACTAGAGTATTAACGACTAAAACCGAATTGCAAATCAGTTTCATTTTATATCGGTATGGACAATCAGGAGGATAACAGACTTATGTTAAAAAATAAAAGCACTATCGAAACCTGCCTTACTTTTTAATCAAATTGAATGAAGCATTTAACCGAATCATCGTCGCGCTATGATAAGGAAATAGGATTTAATGTAATGAACGCAAATGATCACCATCCTAAAGTGTTTAGCACTCAGCATAAACGAACAGCGGTGTATAACTGCGGTATAAACTTTACCAAATCGTGACAGTAAATAGTGAATGCTATCAGCATCGACAAAGAAAACAAACAGACAACAAATATATAACAGAAAATTCAAATGAGGCACACGGCAAAAGTAGGCAAATTCTGTAGATGCGAGGAGTTTGAGAGTGAGCATCAAACGGCAGTAAAGTACGAGTGAGCAAGTGCTTGAGCGGCTGACGGTCTTCTGTTAGGACCGAAAGAAATGAGTTTCTGTAAACACAAATTGAAGACCAATATTCGAACAAAAATCAGCGTCAATACATCTAACAGGGAAGCTCCGGCGTGACTGATTAACGGAACGATCTTCGGTACAGGAATTTTAGGATACATCGGGAATGACGTCCGCAAGATTCTGGTATCGCTAGGCCAGTCTTCGGCCGAAGGTAAACCAACGATTCTAAACACAAATCAAAAAATTAACACGGGCCATCTCTGGAAAAGCTCGGCTACAGTTCGAAAATCGATGATACAGGATTTGAACTTCTTAATTTAAGTTTAGACTTCAGACATTGACGAGACGCCTTTTCCAGAAAGTTTCTGCAAATATTCAGCCTGAGGTTCATATCATAACAAGCTGGAAACTACCGAACCAAGAAACTCCCCCCTTCCTAAGGTCAGTCACATAACAAAAAAATGGTCAGCTAAATAGGTTGTGGATAACAGATCGTCCCATGTCTAGATCATTCAAATAAGTTTGATAAAAAATAAAATAAATAAAAAAAACGTGAACCTGAACACTGATCTGATCACTGAGACGCATCTTTAATAATTATTTCCTAAGAAAATAATTCGGTGTCGAATGTCTGAATAAGGGAGGACGAGGAAACACAAAGTATTGAGAAGTTTCCCGTTCAACTGGTGTTGAATCGGCTGAAAAAACGACAGGAAACACTAAAACGGCTTCACTAAACAAGTGAAACCCCCTTAAGCAAAGGAAGCAAAAACAAACAAACCATTATTACTCTTTGCTAAATTAATGCCAGCAATATATCAGAAAAAATGCTTACTCCATTATCGCCTTCAACTGATCGACTTCATTAACACCTTTAAACAGGGGAACACGTGTGTAGAGTTCAGCTAATATGCACCCGAAGCTCCATAGGTCAGATGAAGTCGTATAGCTGCACTGCAACAGCACCTCCGGAGCACGATACCACAAAGTCATCACCTGGAAAACTTATACTGTGTTTAAAGCGACAATATGGCGGAAACCAACAATATCGCCGTCTAACACCAATCATCCTCACAAATATAATGATCATGCATCGACCACGTGGGTTGGTGGATAACAAACACATAACCGCTCAGCATTTAGCTCTGCTTCCGCTATCGCCCAGACAATCGCCTAAAAATGCTACATCTGTCCTCGCCTTAGATAACA